ACCCAACCCTGCTCCTGGAGATCTACCTTCCTGCAGAGTTTAGCTCCAACCCTGATCAAACACACCTGAACCAACTAATTAGGGTCTGAAGGAGCACTTGATAATTACAGACAGGTGTATTTGATCAGGGTCGGAACTGAACTCTGCAGGAAGGTAGATCTCCAGGACCAGGGTTGGGCACCCCTGGGCTAGAGGATACGAAATTCAGCGAAAATAGATGGGTTGCTTTACGGCAGCAACAAATGCAGGTGTACAGCGATCTACTGTGCAGTGATATATTTACGACAGTGCATTACACTCATTTAACTGTAGGGGGCTTCAAAGTCGAAAAAATGCACAAATCTACACTTTAAAGAACGATGCAGGTTGCATTTTTGCTATAATGTGGAGGCTTTTTTACACTACTGCGACTTTTATCACACAATTTGGACTTTTTTCTTGCAATCATAGTTTACATATCACAATTCTGGCTGTTTTTCTCTGAATTCACATTTTGCAATTCTGACTTTTATTTCACAATACTGGCTTCTTCACACATTTGCAAGTTTATATCTCACAATTCTGACTCTTTTTTTCTCTCACAATTCTGAAGAACTGAAAACAAAAAGTCTGAATTGTGAGATAAAAAGTAGCAATTACCTTTATTATTCTGTGGTGGAAACGGGCTGTATTAGGATTTATTATTAGGATTGTTATTATTATTATTATGTATTGTAGTTAGACAGGGTTAATGTAGTCAACTAAACTAACACTAAAATTTAAATAACTGAAATAAAATAAAATATAAAAAACCTTCAACATTTCTAACTTTTATGAGTTTAACTTCATATACTAAAATAACTAAAACTAAATAAAACTGAAAATAACAAACTGAAATAAACATGAATAAAAACTACATTTACATATATAAAAAAAAAAACAATAACAATGACAAAAACACTCAAAACAGTTGAACTAAAGTTCAAATGAAATCATAAAAATAGATGAGCCAGAGGTTTTTGACAATGGAACTAGATCAGACTCCATGTAGTTTTCCACAGCACACCTCCTCACCCCGTTCTGCAGCGGTCACAGCAGTAATTCTGTTTGAAACTTTAATGCAGCTGTCAGGTCTATCAGCATCTGTAAGACGGCTGTAGTTCTCCATTCACAGCTGGCTGTCAGGCAGTTTGTTCTCATGCTGTCAGCAGCAGTCATGTTGTGCCGGCACTGCATCCTAATCCCAGCACTCTGTGACTCATGTACTTCTCTGACAGATCAATAATTTCATCAGTTCTCTTTTCCTCCTAAAGCATGATGCAGCTAAGTGGTTAAAGCTCTTAAATTGCCTTTTTAGAAGGGCTCTTCAGTCTTAAATTCAATAAAACCATTGGCTACGCAGAGAGTGACTCTGTTACTTAGTCACCAAGTTAGTGCTAAACCCCTAGGACTTCAACAGCACTGCAATTACACACATCATCTCTCCACTCAAGTCCTTTGCGGTTGAGACTTACAATAATGAGGAATGACATGATTATACAAAGATGTTTTTCTTACTTTTATGAGTTTTCCATTTTTTTTAAATAGTGGTAATGAGTAAAACATAAAATTATATTAAAAAAATTATGTATTAATTTAAATACATACATTTATTAATTAACTTTTCAATTTTAATACTTTTATGTTTAATATTTTTTACTGTTTAAAAAAAAAAAACAGGTTCCATTGTGACAGCATTAAGGTAGGCTATGTAAACCTTCTCTGCAAAATAAAAAGTGTGAGAGTGAAAAGTGACAACTAACCGTGGTCTCCCCAATGTGGAAAGGAAAACGAATACAAAAATAAACAATATAATTAATAAAAACACTTGTACTCATTGTACTCAAAGTGTTAAATATGATTAAGTGGTTTATGTAAGATTAAAATGAAATAAATTCATTTCATTTATTATTATATTTATATTAATAACATAATAAACATTATAATTAACATAAAATGTTAATATTTACTATTTTAATATTAGTTCAATAAATTATTTAATTTTGGAAAATATTTATTTGTTTAATGTCTGACTGACTGATTTACTAAGAAGCTCAGGCTCCCCAATGTGGAAACCGAATGCAAAAATAAACCATATATATAATAAACACTTGTACTAATTGTTAAATATGATGTTTTGTATGATGTAAATATGAAGTGTTTAATGTAAATTTTAAATAAATACATGAAATAACTACATTTATTATTATATTTTATATTAATAACATTTTAATGAATAAACCTTTTTTTTTTTACTATTGTAATATTATTTCAATAAATTATTTATATTTGTTTGGAAATATTTGTTTGTTTGTTTTTTACTAAGAAGCTCTGTGTCTTCAATGTGAAAAATGAATACAAACATAAACCAGAAATACAAATAAAAAATAAATAATATAATTAATAAAGAATTGAATAATATATAATGTACTCATCATTAAATATGATTAAAAGTAACCGTATAGCAAATGTAATCATTGAAGTAATATAAAAAAAAATACATCTTAAAATTGTATGAAATATTGTAATAAATAATAAATATTCAAATTAAATAATATCAATAATACACAATCTGTTTACATATATAAAATTATTTTGTAAATAAATAATAAATATTATTAATAATTAATTTAGAATAAAACAGCAATAAAGCTATGATTATTAAGATATTTTCATTACATGCCCTAAGGTGTCACACCCTCAGATGTTGGTCTAGAGTGCATGAGAGTATGATGATTGCGGTTGCACTTGATAATGGTCACTAGCTGTTTGGAGAGCTCCGAGCTCCGAGCTGCCGGCGCTGAGACCGAGAGCGCCAGGCTTTATCCTCAGGACTTCTTACTCACCGTCTCCATGAGTCAAGACTCAGCACTTCCACACAGCCAGAAAAGACACAGAGCAGTGGTTTTCACATCCTGAACAAAGAAGTTCTCCTCCTCTCTCAAGTGCTGCGAAGTTATTTTTATGTCATGCCTGGAGGATGTGTGTTCAATTCTGGATTAATGTGGTGGAACAGGCTTCTGCTGGTGGGATGTGGAGTCCTCCACACTCGCTGGCAGATTAAATATTGAGAGGATTAGAAGAAAAAGCTGACGTCTAAGCATTTAGGCTTGATTATGCAGAATATTTATTGTGCACTGAATGTCTTCACCATGCAGGACATTAGAGAGTAAAGACTATAGTTGTGGTGTTCTCAGTCTACAAAAATTAATTATAAGTTTCTCGTTATGCTATATTATTACCAAATCATGTTTTCTTTCAATTAGCACAGGTTTTGTATTTCTTTCTCGACTGATCAATCTAAGCTTATTCACCTTAGTTTTTGAGTGAACTTTGCCAAAATTATCCACAAATAATGCTTTTTTTCACTGAAAAACTGAGGCGCATTAAAGGGTTAGTTCACCCAAAAATGAAATTAGACTCACCCCCGAGGCATCCTAGGTGTTTATGACTTTCTTCTTTCAGAAGAATCCAGTCGGAGTTAGATAAAAAATTGTCCTGGCTATTCCAAGCTCTATCATTGCAGTCAGCGGGTGTTGCAGTGCTCGAGACGTGTGAGACACTTTTTTTTATGGATGGGCACATTTTATTTCACTTCTTTGGGACTGAAGCACTGCAACACCCGCTGCAGATTAAAGCCTATGATCAAACAATTCCAAAAATAAAAAAAAATAAAAAAACCTTTGTTAACTGAAAGAAAACAAGTTGACAAAAAGATTGAATCCAAGATTTGCTAATCATATAGCATAATGAGAGATTTTTCAGTCATTTTTGACTGGGAACACCAAATTAGGTAATTAGGACATTTTCAACTAATTTCAGCACAGCACAAGTGTTAAAAGTCTTAAACTTCTTTTAAAATGTGAGCCTGGCGTTTTTACAGTGCCTAATGTGTAGGGATGGGCGATACCTCTTATTTTATTTTCGATCCGATACCGATATTTTCAAGCCCAGTATCATCGATAACGATACCGATACCTCTAAACTAAACGGATCTTTTAAATTATTAAAAGAATATAATCAGTAATTATACTCACTTAATATTAGATTTTAAAGCCATGTTTTTTTAACGATACCGATATTTTCAAGCCCAGTATCGCCGATATCAATACCGATACCGATACCTCTAAACTAAACTGATCTTTTAAATTATTGAAAGAATATATAATCAGTAATTATACTCACTTAATATTAGCTTTTAAAGCCATGTTTTTTAACATTTCATATGCCTTTTTTGTTTACACTTTTAGAAATAAAATATACTATAATTGTATATTTTAGCCCTTTAATGGGGCAGTAACCTCAAAGGTGCAACTATACCCCTAAAAGTGAGCATATTAGTACCATACAAGTATGCATGTTTTAAGGGTAGATAAGTTACAAAGGTGCACCTTTGAGGGTACCTCATGAAAAATAAACATGGTGTTACATAAGTACTAAAATGTATTATTATTATTATTATTATTATCATGGTAAATTTGTGGTTACTGCAGTTTTACTACAAATACTGTGGTAAACTGTGGTTACTGTAATAAAACCATGGTTAATTTTTGTAAAAGGCTGCCAGGCTGTTGTACCCCTAAAGGTGAAACTTTAGCATATTTTTTTTCTGGCAGATTTATTAACAGCAATTACAGAACATACAATCCATTTGAACTTTTAACAACCAGTTTAAATAAATTTACTTGCACAAACTAGCCAATTCTGTGTGAACGACCGCTGACTGTGTTATTGGTCATGTTTAGAAGCAGCGCTGTCAGATTCACACTTTGTTTGATCCCTTCTCTTTCGTGCTCTGATATACAGCTGGGAAAGAGTATTTAGATAAACCACACCAGTAGTGATTTCACGGAGGTGATTGCTTGATTAGTCTTTTATCCTGCACTGCACATCTTAACCACACGGTGTCAGTGTTTCTTAACAAACAACCTCTGCACGGTAAGTGATTCGTGACTTCAGTAATACATAAACTTGACCGTTTATATGAGCACTTTAATGTAATGAAAGAACATCGAGAGAAACAGGGTCACGTTACATTTATTACATTTGGAAATTCATGCACCATAAACATGCTCAGTTAATTCTGTGTAAAGAGTATGTATAAAACTACCAAATAATCCCCATATCGTCAATGGCATATTTGGGGTTAATTTGTGTATCTTTTGTCCCACTACAGGAAAAGCGAATCTGAGCTTTATCCTGCCATACAATTTCCTATAATGTTTGTCCAATACACAGTATAGTACATTGCATACAAAAGCACATAACCAGTCTATGATGCTCTAAACCTGTCATGACATGGCTTTAATAGTTCTGAATTAATCATATATTTTAAAAATATATATAAATAAATAAAATGAATAAATAAAATTACTGTTTGATTGAATCTGTTTCTATGAGAAAACAGAAGTGTCAGGGGCATTTTACTCATACTAAAACAAAATAAACAATAAATCAGTTTTACAAAGATTTTATTAAACAAAATGGACATTAAGCAGATAAAAAAAACTATGAATAAAATCGCAGAAAGAGGAGTGCGATCACTTGGCTTTATCATTTGGTGTTTTCATTAGCATGACAAATAAAAAAGGACAAGTGACTTTGCCCCTTCACAGCACTACTGAACCCAGCAGAATAAATGTACAAACATGTCAAACTCTACTGCAAACCGCCACTCGCTCTGAACCGAATGAGGAAAACGAGGTAATACAACTTTCACAGTGACAAAAGAATACACAATCTAGATAAACCACTACAGAACAGAATATTATTGTCCATAAATTCATCTCATGACACACATTACAGTATCTAACTCGTGTTAATATTTAGAAAGATTTTGTTAGGCATGGCTGTCATACAACTATACAAAACTGTCTTAAAAATGGCTCAACTCTGTTGTCATGAAACTATATTAACAGCATCGGATTGGTTGGATATCCAGACATGAGTTTGCTAAATCTCTCCAAAACTACATTTCTTTTAAAAACTAATTTTCTCCAATAATATAAACAAAACAAAGCACACATACAATCCAAAGATCTTAAAAATCTACAGGCAAAAAAAAGTGATCTGAACTATTGTTGAGCTCAGGTGACTTACATGATAATTCAGAAGATGGATCGGTTTATAAAGGCCATGTTTGTTTATGTGTCGGCAACATTTAAAAAGAAGAGGAGCACTTTGCTTGATTCTATCTAATACGACACTGATATTTATCCGTAAGCCAATGCTTTTGCCCAAGAGCTTAGTATACTGAATGCTACTCGCTACTCTACATCAGTGGCAGTCTTCCTGAATGTTAGAAATCATGGCAGGATCTGTAAGGTAAAGTCGCCTCTTTTTAGTTAGAAACATGACTTAACATGAATGAAGAAGTAATGCTTGACTTTGGATGGATAAAAAGATTTGATCGTAATCTAAACCATTGAGTGTTAAAGTGTCTGTGTAGTGTTGAGATGAAAATAAAGTGTATAAAATAGTAAAGAATAAAGTGTGATAGGTTGAGTTTTTGTATGCTGACACTACAAAAATATATAACAAAACAAAACAAAAATCAATTCTGGTTGTTCTAATGGTCTCTGACGTATGTGATGTACAATGACTCCAGCGGCAAGTGATTTAAAAATAAATTGCAGAATGTGGGAGCAGCAGTGCATGCACAAATTCTGGTCCTATGAAACATTAAGGCACCAGAGGTATCAAAAATCTACTTGTTTTTTGTTTTGTTTTGTTTTTTAATTAAAAAAAAAAAATCTTCTAAAGGCAGTTTCTGTGAGTGCATGCAACACATCATGAAGGAGCCATTGATTGACTTCATGCTTGAGCACCTGTCATCTTCTGCAACAGAGGCATCTGTAAAAGTAGAGACACATCAAGTAGATAATTATTAAATATGGCATATCATATGAAAATATGCTATATGGCAGCTGTAGAATGGAACTGCATTTTTTAGCCTGATTTGCAAAATATATAATCATAGAGATTTTTTTTTGGGGGGGGGGGGGGGGGTAGTATGGCTCCAGCCGTAGAGTCCGAGAGGGGGGCTGGGGCCTTTATTACGAAATTTGATCAGTATTGATTGATATTAAACTGCTTTTTTTATTATTTTGTACTGCTCTCTGAGGTCCCCTTATAACGTTATCAACATTTTTACATCAAAATACATCATAATTTAGCAGTAATAGGCTATTTTCTGTCCTGTTTTGACCCCCCTTCTTTTGGACTGAAGCAATGCAACAAGTTGGGATTAAAAGGAAGGCGATGCAAAGACTGTGTTTTTCCACAACTTGGCACTGCGCAGCGTCTTGTTATCTTCGGAGCATCTTTATCGTTTGATTTCAGCGTAGACCTGTGTTTGCGTTCTCGTTATTTACACTACATGCTCAAAATGGTGGGTGGGGCTAAACAGGCAGTGATGTAGAAGCAGGCATTGATCTTCTTCTGTGGAGGCGGGGTTTAGCCACACTATTACGTCATAAAGTGGCACATTCCACAAGCTGTCGTTTTGGCAGATTGGCTTCAATATAAAGCTGTTTTTAGACTAATGAGGAAGTTTTGAGTTCTGAAACTTACAGGATGTTTTTATAGTACAATGACCTCTTATATGTCAAAAGATCAAGGGAATTAGATTTCTCAGTTCATGACCCCTTTAAATATAATTCAGCTGATAATGGATATTTATTCATTCATTTACTGTAGCAGACACTTATATCCAAAGGTATAAAACAAAGCATTTCTTTTTAAATATTTAAATTAGATATTCAATTATGCACACTGATTTCCTTCATTTTTACATTTATATTATTTTGCCATCATGTAACATTCACTTAAAGTCTTAAAAAACACTAATAATCTAATAACTGTATGTTATTCTAATAGTATAATCTCAAAATTATTAATTTTTCATACTGTACATTATAATTTTGTGATGACTAAATTCAATTGTAGCATTTAAAATCAGTGATTTTAGTTTTTAGTGTTTTGTTTTATTATTTATGTAGTCCAAATAAGTGACATTTACCATCTCTACTAATCTGGGCTTGAGAAACAATATTTTAAATGTACAATTGTTGTCTATTATTTAAAATAATTTATGAAAATTGTAACTTTTTGTGGGTTATTCATCAGCTCAGGATACAGGAAATAATAGATTATTCATCAATTATTAATAAATCAATATTTAATTAATGATTGATTTATTATTATGCATTTTAATGTATATTTTGACTGAACACTTGGTCAAAAAATGTACCACACCATTTTGTCTTTAAGGCCTGATTAACATGATTTTGTCTCTTGATTAACTTCACGCCCAGTCTCACCTTGGACAGGTCCACACCCGTGAGTGCATTAATAGACACGGGCAGCTCGGCGAGGAGGCGGTTCACCTCCCCGGTCACGCGGCTTCCGTCCCCACTCAGAATAACAATCTCATTGGTCCTGGCCAGAGGAGCCGCTACCTTTCCAGCAATCTGTAGGTGATGGACATTAGAAGTTCAAAATACAAAATCAAGGCCCATCCTACAATACCCATAGTGACCATGTACAATTCCAGTGGCGACCTCTATCATCCAAATAACATAGGAGAACAGTTCATTCACCCTGGGCAGCGCTTCTAGGACGAGTGCAGTCTTGGCGGCCTCTCCGTACTGCTGGTAGGCCTCTGCCTTCAGCCTCATTCTCTCGGCTTCAGCCTTCCCCACAGATGAGATAGAGATGGCCTCTGCCTCTCCGATCTTCCTGATCTTCTCTGACTCGGCCTGAGCAATCAGCACTTTCTTCAACCTATTCAGTGTCACAAATATAGCTCAAGTCATCTTGGTGTGTGTCAAAGATCGGTTCCTCAAATACATAATGGATACATGATTAATAACACATCCTATTTGGGTTTGATGCAACATCTGTGCCACATCATTCTGTGAAATGATCCATCAATTCGCAAAGCACTTTATCACGGTTACACAACAACATGCTGAGGTCGTATTTCACCTCAAAATCAAGTAAAAAAAAAAAGCAATTATATTTGTTATACTTCTTTAAGTATATTCCCACCCAGATTCTCATAATCATGAGCATATTGTCTCTTAAAAGTTTCATACTTTCTGTTATCCTCAGTGGTGTTTATTTTGTTATTCTCTTTAAAGGTGCAGTATTGCAATATTTCAGTGAAAGTCTGTGCACAAAAAATGATGCATTGTCTAATGTCAATAATGCAGTGATTTATCAAGCACAGCTCACAATGAAGTCACTTTCAAACCAAGCAGGTTTCTGTTGGTCAACACGGCGAAAATCACGTGACCAACTTGTACATGAGCAAAATCAGCATGGGGAACTTTTCGCTCTCATGTGAAAAAGTCAATTGCATGGATTCCTATGGAAATGACTGGATTTCACACATGAAATTTCTCAGAGCAACGGTAAAAGTGACCACACCTTAATACAGTAATTTTTTTAATAGTATAGGCTGTATATTTATATATTTTTATATATTAAAAATGTTAATTATATATTTAGTTTACGTATATATTTTATTTGATATATTATTTATAATGTCTATTTGACTGATTTATGCCTATTTATAATTTTTTTATTAAATGAATTATTTTATTTTATTAGTTTGAACTATTTTATTATTAAAAACTTTACTTAAAAATTATTAATACATACAATAAAACATACACAAACACAATAACAAAATATTATTATAATGTATTAAAATAAAATAGACGGACTGATGGACGGACGGACGGACGGACGGACGGACGGACGGACAGACAGACAGACAGATAGCTGTACAAATTGTATTCAGAGGTCACACTCACTTTTGCCCTTCAGCCAGCTGCTGCATCTTGTAAGCCTCTGCTTCAGCAGGACGCTTGACCGTCGCAATCAGCTCCTTCTCTGTCCTGTCAATCTCTTTCTCCTCGATGGAGATCTGCTTTTTCCTCTGCACAACCTCGATTTCAATCTCCTCCAATCTGATCTTCTGCTGCTCTTTAGCTGCCTGTAGTTCATAGGCCAGCTGAGACTCGGCTTTCTATGTACAAGAGAGACACATATCACATGATTACTACCACTCTCATCTGAGACTGATAAATATCATTGTATAAGCTCACATCTGTCCAGCTAACAAGATGACTGGGATTTAAGATGATGGCCCTGGATTGAAATGAAATTTAATCCAACCTTAGTGTTCACTTCTTGATTGAAAGCAGCTTTCTGCAGTTCCAGCTCTCGTTTGGAGTCGGCCATTTTTGTGTCGGCCAAGAACTTCACATCCATCATTTCTTTCTTGCACTCAGCTTCCTGATCAGGAGGTGGGAGAAAACAGGAGCTAATAAATGCCACACATCTAATGGATAATGCATTAGCAATAAAGACAGTGAAGCCAGAAGTCTCTTACTCTAATCCCAGCATCCCTCTCTGCCTCGGCTACTCCGATGTCGGCATCCCTTTGTACAGCCGCTGTCTGAGTTTTTCCAAGAGAGCTCAGGTAGTCCAGCTTATCATAGACATCCTGTAAATAAAAGACAAGTGTCAATATTTTATTTATTTTTTATTATTTTAATTATAATAATTGATTATGACTTAAAATTATATGAAATATTTCATAAAATTATGTGAAATAGTTTTCATTAACTGAAATAAAGCTGAAGTAAAATAAAGTATGAAATATGAAAATTTTAAAAACTTGAAAATTAGTAAATGAAAATTAGAAATGCTGCTTGGCAACAAAGTGAAATCAAGTAAGTATAAAGTATTAAAATGATTAAAACTCAAAACACACAAAAAAATGACCAGCACATAACAGTTACTTTTACTAACAAATTTACTTATACAATTACTACATTTAATTTACTTACTAAAATTAATTTAGTACGTAGATTAATTAATTTAATTAAATTAAAATGAACTGAACAAATTAAGATAAATTCAATTAAGATTAAAATTAAAATGAACTGAAAATATACAAATAAAAGCTAATTCCAAATATTAATAAATACTATAATAGTACTTTAGTATTATTATATAAGAAATCAATCTGGTTCCCTTGATTTAATATTTATTCTACACGTATACTGGTTCAAGGTGTCACTGAGGTCTAGAATGGAGGCAGGACTCACCTTGTCCATGAGTATGATTTTGCATTAAGAAACACACATATCTTACTTTTATAGTGAAGCTGAGGATTTCAATGCCCATCCGGCCCACATCAGGAGCTGCCACCTCCCTCACCAGCCGAGCAAACTCATCTCTGTCCTGGTAGATCTGCTCCACTGTCAAAGTGCCTGTCGTAAGAACAGCAACAGAACATCAGCTTCATAGAATCACACCCGTCAGAATTGTTTTTTAATGAGGTTACTGTAATTGTTAGTTATCTATTAACCTAAGATAGAACGCAAATGTCCCTCTAGGGTTTGCAGGACCACAGCCTTGATTCCCATGACAGACTTTCCCAGAAACTGCTCACAGGCAACAGCCAGCAAGTCTTTGTCAGTCATGACCTTGACCTGATGAAAACACAAGGCAAGAGTATATATGTGACCCTGGACCACAAAACCAGTCAGATTTATACATCATCTGAAAGCTGAATAAATAAGCTTTCCATTGATGTATGGCTTGTTATATTTGG